CGGTCCTTCTAGCGGATTAGGAATTCAATCCTCCTGATGCCCGTGGGGTGACAAATACGATGGCTCGGGATTTTTTTAGGCTCGATGATTGGCTCTGATGCAGGGCGAGTCATGGATGGTGGTCGATGGCGCGGCAATTGGCTTGTGGTGGAGACGTAAGGGCGGAGCAGGCTGACGTGGAACGATAGGCTGATGTACCAGTCTGTCGGTAACAGTAGGTGGGCAGTGACCGGGGTGATCATGTGGCTGATTTGGAATGGTCCGCAGTAGCGGGGTCGAAGTTTTCGCAAGTCGGGCAGGCGTAAGTTCTGCGTGTTGAGCAGTACGTAGTCTCCTTTCAGATACGTGACTGGGCGGCGGTGGCGGTCAGCATTGAGTTTGGCGACGAAATTGGCCTTTTTAATTGCTTCTGCGGCTCTGGTGTGGGCAGCTTGCAGAATCTCGGCGAATCGTTGGGCATGTGGCGTGGGGTTGTCCGGACTCGGCGTCATGGGCACTGTTGGATTCTGCCCATAGTTCAGGTAGAACGGGGACTGCTGCGTCGTCGCTGACGTGGCGTTGTTGTAGGCGAACTCGATCAGCGGCAGCTGCTGCTCCCACGTTGTAGGGTCGTCGCACGTGGCACGAATCAACTGCTCCATCGTCTGATTCGTCCGCTCCGTTTGACCGTCGGTCTCGGGGTGGTACGACGAGCTGAACTGTAGCCTAGTCCCGAACTGCTCCCAGAGGTTTTCCCAGAAGTTGCTCGTAAACTTCGTGTCCATGTCGCTGATTATCGCTGCTGGTATCCTGTGCATTCGGATGACGGCTACGATGAACAAGCGAGCAGTTTCCTCGGCGGAGATCGACTTCTTGCACGTAGCAAAGTGTGCCATCTTCGTCAACCTGTCAACGACGACCATTACCGCGTCGTTACCCCCAGGGCTCGAAGGTAACCCTGTGACAAAATCCATGGGTTTCTACTGCCAGGCTCGCTCGGGCGGTGGTATCGGCTGCAACTGACCCGCCTTCTTCTTGCGCGAGCTCGTCATCACCTGGCACATAGGGCACGACCCCACGTGCTGCTGCACGTCGGTCAACAGCTCCGGCAAGTAGTAGCACCGCTGCAGTTGCTGTCGCGTCTTTTCATGGGTGAATAGGCTTGTGAATAGCGGGTTGGTTTGGGCGAGTAGGATTGCATGTAGTTGGGCTGTTGGGCGGGTGAGTGCGTCGGCGATGTAGTGGAAGTTGGACTCTAGATAGTCCAACCAGCGAATCTGTTGCGGATTGAGGTTTGATTGGGCGCGGAGGTACTGTAGTGATCGGTGGTCTGTCCGTACTGTCACGTCTGCGCCGGTCAAGTAACAGCGCCACACTTTGAACGCGTGCACGATCGCCAACATCTCGCGGTAGTATATCGGGTTGTTGCGTTCAGGCGGGTGCAGCTTGCGGGACTCGTACGCGATTGGCTGAACGTCGTTCCCGAAGTCCTGCAGCAATATTGCTCCTACGGTGATGTCGCTTGCGTCGGTGACGAGTTCGAACGGACGGTGGGGGTCAGCGATGTTGAGTACGGGCAGCGAGCACAAAAATTGGTTTGAGGGCGGAGAAGGCAGCCTCCTCTTTCTCCCCCCACGTGTACTCAACCCCTTTCCTCAGCAGGTCGGTCAACGGGGCAGTCAACTTCGCCATGTCGGGGACGAATTGGCGCACGTAGTTGACGAACCCCAAAAATCTCTGCAGCTCAGTCTGGTTTGTCGGCGCATGCCATTCGTGAATCGTCGCGATTTGTTTTGGGTCTATTTCCACTTCGTCGGCTGAAATGTTATGACCTAAAAATTCCAGTCTGTCCTGAGAAACTCGCATTTAGAGGCTTTGGTCAGTAGGCGGTTCGCACTCAGTATCTTAAAAACGGCTTCGATGTCCTGTAGGTGCTGAGCGCGGTCGGGGCTGTAAATCAGTACGTCGTCGAGGTAAACGATGACGCACTTATCTAAAAGCAGGCGGAAGTCTTCGTTCATCGTCATTTGGAAGGTGGCGGGGGCATTGGTTAGACCGAAGGGCATGACGGTGTATTCGAACGATCCGTAGCGTGTTCGGAAAGCGGTTTTCGGGGAGTCGGGCAGGTTGACGCGGATTTGGTGGTAGCCTCCTCGAAGGTCTATTTTCGAGAAAATCTGGGCTGTGCGCAGTTGGTCGATCAGTTCGTCGGCTCGCGGAATGGGGTAGCGGGATTTGATGGTAACCCTGTTCAGTGCCCGGTAGTCTATGCACATGCGAAAACACCTGTCCTTTTTAGTGTGAACAGTATGGGCGCTGCGAAGGGTGACGAGCTTGGGCGAATGAACTCTTTCTCAAGCATGTAATCAAGCTGCTTCCGTAGCTCGTCCAGTTCGGGTTAGGTCAGTCGAAACTGTCGCTGTACTGTTGGCTGTGCCCTCGTTTCTAGCTCTATCCTGTGGTCGTGCGGTCGGTGAGGTGGCAGCCCTGTCGGCAGGTCGTCCGGGAAAATCCCACTGTACTGCTTCAGAAGTGCCGCCAGGTCATCCGGCACGTCGGTCAGCAGTTTCTCTAAATCGCTTCCCTTGTCTGCTGCGTCAGCTTCCCGAATGTCAACCGCATACACGTCAGCTCCTGCCGCTACGGCGCGTTTCATCGTGATCGCGTTGACACGCACCGACGAAGACTCAGGCGAGCCCCAGCGAGGTAAGGCGATGTTATTACCGTTCTCTCGCACAGAGCAGTCGCCCGTGGTCCAGTCGATTCGTGGATTGTGTCGCCACAGCCAATCACGACCGAGTAAAATGTCGGTTCCGTCGAGGGTCGTTGCGAGCATTTCCTGGCTAAACGTGAAGTTACCCCCGCATCGAATCCGAACCCGGTCTACGCGTTCCCGTATCGCCAGTGGCGTGCCTTCGACCAGTCTTGCGTCGATCTCAGATAAACATCTGTCAAGTGGCAGTCTCAGCTTCCGTGCGGTGGTAGTGTTGATGAGGCTGTGACTGACTTCCCCGTCCACGAATACTTTAACTAAGTCTGTCCTAATCTTCCCACTAAGTAGTATGGGGCTGTCTACTACGGTACCCTCCTTATTCGGCCTGGTGTGGTCGATTGCGTGAACTTGCACCATCACTCGGTGAGGGTCGGTTGGGTCGGGCGAGCGGCGTGACCTGTCAGTAGAGGGCCCGTCTGCTACTGACTCCCAGCGTTTCCCTGCTACTTGGTCTGTCCCTGCTACTCTGCTTCCCCCTTTCCCTAAGCATTTTCCGGGCATTCGCTTTTGCGGTGTCCCGGCCGATTGCACGCGAAGCAGCGCCCTTTAAACGGTGCGGCAGCGGCATTCGCGGCGACGGCACGTATCGTAGCGCCCTCGTTCGTCCCACGAGATCGATGTCCCCAGTTGCTGCTGCTTCCGTAGGACCCTGGTCTCGGTCGGCGGAAGAAATCAAGCTTCTCCGCCATAGCGAGAATCTCCTGAAAATCGGTGGCACCGCGGAGCTGGTTTTTCTGGGCGATTTCGTGCTTCAGGCCGCCGATGTAGCGGTCGATGCGCTCGCCCTCGTGCATGTAACCCATTTGCTCAAACAGCGCCAGAAACCAACTGGTGTAGTCCTGGACGGAATTGAGTTGGCGCCAAGTGCGGAGCTTCTGACGCGCCGCGATCGAAGCCGCAATTGGCTCAAATCGAGCGCGCAGACCTGCGCACCACGCGTCCCACGTGCGATATTGGGGCACCTCCACGAAATACGACGGCGCCCAGGGTCCGGTTTGTCCTTCCTGTGTCGGTAGAGTCGCGTAGTCCATCGGCTTCGTGACGATGACGCGCCACCAATCCATGGCGGGTCCTCGCAGCAGCGACACGGCGTAGCGAATCTTCGCCGATTTGGCCGGGCCAGGAGTGCGTGGTTTGGGAAAACAGTGCGCGAGAAGTTGGCGAAGCCCCGTTAGCGGTAACGGGCGAACAACGGTGGCTGCTGTACGCGATGTTGACGGTTGTGGTAAGGAAAGGTGAGAAAATTTCTTACAATAATCTAGAGCACACCGAGAACCCAGAGCACATTCAGGCCTCCTGAGGTGTCCCGATCTGAGCCGACGTAGTGCGCTGGCTACTGGAACACGTAAGGGCGTGTAACCATTTTGATTTTTGTCGTTTTTACGGACTGTCCGTATATTGTGAAACGGACGGTCCCAATATCGAGTACAGAACCGTCCGTATTGACGTTTCGCAACTTTGTCCGTCCAGATGGAGAAGTTACATTTTTTCGGTGTTGTATTTTTTCGCGATCACTGTAGCCTCGTTAGAGGCACCGTATCTTCGTAACTTTAGTCACGACACGTTGCAGTTAATTTTCGCCCGCCAATCATTGCAGTAAAATCAAAATTATTTTCGTGGCTAGAACCGCTGGACCGTCCGTTTTGGTTTCGGACTGTCCACGGTTCACATTTCGAACCGTTGAAAAGGGGAGGTGTCACGACGTTCGAATCGTTGGCGACGTCGCACAACCTTTCACGAACAGCTAGACGACGTTTTGCGAGGCTAGTAATCCCTCGCATATACGGACGGCCCACAGCTCGAACTGGTGGGGGAAAAATGGTTACACGCCCTAAAATTCTTCGAGAAGCAACCTCGTCAAGAGACTCGAGAACTTTCACGCCCGTGGAAACCTACCAGCAACTTTTTTCGCTCCGATTTCTCCAACGGACCACGGTCTCCGATTTCACTCCGATTTCACTTCCTGCTTGGAGCGCACTCAGTAGCTCACGCACTCGTTCTTCATTTTTTCACCATAGGATCCGCTTAGAATTCCACGTCCTTCACGCGCGAGACGTTTCGGAGCGGCGTACGCTCGTTCCAACCTCGCCGGCTTCCTTCACTTGAAGCACCGCGAAAGCACAAGCCGTTGCGCCGCGAACGCTCTTAATCGAACCAATTTTCGTGAAAGGCGAGGCTCAACGGTCAGCGGAGGGAGAGCGCTCGATCGGACACGAGAGCGCTCGGTTTGGCTAGCGAGTGATTTGCGATGGGCGGGAAATGGGGCGCGATCTCGAAGCTGCACGCGTTCCCCAAGGCGGAGGACCACCTCACGCAGAAGACGCTGTCGGGTGCCATCGGTACGTGCGGTGGGGCTTGGTTCAGTCAGGTACCGCCATTGTGGCGCGCGCGCGTTCCCCAAGGCCAAGGCGGACGACAACCTCACGCAGAAAACGCTGTCTGGCGCCATCGGTACGTCTGGGTGAGTTTATCCCAGGGCTTTGGGACATTGTGGCACTGTCGGCCGCCCTCTGTGCGTACGGCGCCCTCGGTGCGTACGTACGGCGCCCTCGGTGCGTACGTACGGCGCCCTCGGTGCGTTGCGTACGGCGCCCTCGGTACGTACGGCGCCCTCGGTGCGTACGTATGCCGCCCTTGCTGCAGGGCCCCCAGGGCCACGCGTACTGTCCCCAGGCTCCCCACCCCACCCCTTTCATTCAAATCCAGTCACTCAGCGGGGCGTTGCAATCACTACCTCCCCCTCCTTCCCCTCTTCCTTGCCTTGCCTATCTCCACAATCCTTAAGTGATTGCCTTGTACAGTGACTCTGGTAGGAGGGCGTGACACTCACATTTCCAACCCGCCTCTCCCCGCCCTTCCGCCTCCTCTCTCATCCCCACCCCCCTCACAGTGACTCTGCTTGGCGTGGCAATCATGCTGGTGCTCTTCCTGCACCACCTCTCCGTCCCTCCCTGCTCAACCTCCCTTCTCGCACCACCTCTCCGTCCTGCTCAACCCCCCCAGCAGTGTGACTCTTCTGTGCGTCGCAATCATTTCGATTTCCCCCCACCCCTCCCTACCACCCTCCCTCCCTCCCATCCTCCTTCCTCCCCCCACACACCCCCAACCCTCATCCCCCACACACACAGTGACTCTGCTGGGTGGTGATCATGGTGGTGCTGTTCGCCCACGAGCCCTCCTTCGTGCTCAACCACCCCCAAGCACACCCCCATCCTTAACCCCCCCCCCCCCCAAACACACAGTGACTTTGCTGGGCGTCGCAATTATGGTGGTGCTGTTCGCCCACGAGCTCTCCTTCGTGCTCACGCCCGAGGTGCATGAGGAGGTGCGTGGGCTGTGGAACACAACAGAGTGGCATGGCGTGGCGTGGCAAGCATTCATATGTACATGCACTCGTGTCGTGCACCCATGCCTCACATGCGCTCGTGCACCCATGCCTCACATGCGCTCGTGCACCCATGCCTCACATGCGCTCGTGCACCCGTGCCTCACATGCGCTCGTGCACCCGTGCCTCACATGCGCTCGTGCACCCGTGCCTCACATGCACTCACGGCCATGAGCCATGAGCGCACACCTACACACATCCTCATGCCTGGATGGAGTGACGAGCATGCATGCATGCATGCGCACATGCGCAAGCATTTGTTAAAGCTCTCCTTCGTGACCACAGCCAAGTCACAAGAGGAGGCGAGTGCAGCTGCGGTGGAATGGAGCAGAGTGCACACAGCCAACCCTCCCCTCCCCTCCCCTCCCCTCCCCTCCCCTCCCCTCCTCTTCCCTACCCACCCCTCCCCTCCCCTCCCCTCCTCACCCTTCCCTCCCATCCCCGTCCCCAAACCCCACAGATGGCAGTTGGCAAGGCACCAAGGGACAAGAAGCTCGATGTGTATCTGAAATCTCCTTCTCCCCTCCCTTCTCTCGCGCCCCCTCTTCCCTCCCCTCCCTTCCTCCTCAACCCCCTTTCCCCCTGCCCCGACAGATGGCAGTGGACAAGACACCAAGGGACGAGAAGCTCGACGTGTATCTCAACATCTCCTTCCCCTCGCTGCCCTGCAACGGTGAGCGCAGCAGCATTGACATGCCTCCTTTCCCACCGACCCACCTGTCCGCGTCCCTCTCTCCTCCGCCCTTTCCTCCTCTACATTCCCCTTCTTCCCCACTCCTCTCCCCCTTCTTCCCCACTCCTCTCCTTAATCCCTTAACTTGTGGTCTCCTTTCGTCCTGCCCTCAAATGCTATGCTGGCAACATCTTCCCCCATTTCCTCCTACCTGGCCCCATCCCTCTCAACTCCCCTCCCCTCCCTCCCACCTGTCCCCATCCCTCTCCCCTCCCCTCCTTCCCACCTGCCCTCCTTCCGTTGTCGTGTTTCGCTTTTGCAAGTTCTCGTTCCTTCGTACACGCTACTCTTTCTTTCCTTCCTTCGTACACGCCACACCAGTTTTTATTCCATGCCATGTTTGTTCTTGTGTGAAGTGCATCTTGAATGATCTCCTCCCCATCTGTTTCAGTTGTCGTGGATCAGCTGGTATTCTGCTTTAATAAGTCACCTGCCGCTGCCTGCACGTATGGGTGGGGATGGGGATGGGGGTGGGGGTGAGGTGGGGTGTGGTTGCGAGTGTGGGTGTGTGTGTGTGTGTGTGTGTGTGTGTGTGTGTGTGCGTGCGTGTGCGCGTGCGTGCGTGCGTGCGTGCGTGCATCACATATCGGCCCATGCATGTGTGCTACACGCTGCAGTGATCAGTCTCGATGCTCTGGACATGTCTGGCAACCATGAGGTGGACATCGCAACCAACATGTACAAGGTAAGGTGACATCGCAACCAACATGTACAAGGTAAGGTGACATCGCAACCAACATGTACAAGGTAAGGTGACATCGCAACCAACATGTACAAGGTAAGGTACATCACTGTAACCCAGTGACACAGGAGCAGGTGCATGGCATATCTGTCCATGCATGTCACATGTGCACGCTGCAGTGATCACTCTCCACTCGATGCTCTCGACATGTCAGGCAACCACGAGATGGACATTGCAACCAACATGTACAAGGTATAACGAGGCTTCGCATCACGAGTACATGGTATGGTGGGCTTTCCTTAACGAATCCAAGGTATAATGTGGCTTTTTTAAGCGATCACATTGTATAACGAGGCGTTTCATAACGGGTACATCTGATTATATGGTGTGGTGTTTCGTTAACGAGTACAGGTCGCTCAGATTCACCTCACCCGCTGCTGTTATTCCCGTTGCCCACATCCATCCCACCCTTCGTCTACCGCTCCATGTCCCTCCCTTCCATCCGTTCGACCCGTCTGCTACATTGGAATCACATCGCTTTTTGGAATTCCCAAGGGTTCACAATTGTAATACCAAAATACACCCGTCTGCATCACCATAGCATAGCAAGGCGATGGGTTGCACCCCCTATCGCCTCTCCTCCCTCACACCCTTACTCCCTCTGCTTAACACGCCCCTTCCCCCCTACATCCCCATTCCACCCTCCCACCTCCCCGCTTCTCGCTCTCCTTTGGCCTTCCCCTGCCGGCTGGCAGACTTGAGGTGGCTCAAGCACCCCATCCCCATCCGTGCACTCAGGTCACTCCTTCCTGCCCACTGCCCTCCTCCTCGCTTTTCCCCACCACCACCGGCGCCCTCCTGCTCTCTCCTATTTCCGTCCTCAGGTTCATCTGGACCGTCATGGTCTGTTGGCAGACTCGAGGTGGCTCAAGGACCGCACCTGTGCACTCACCCCAGCTCTTCTCTTTAGGAACCCTTCTCCCACCCTCTCCCCCCTCCCTTCTCCCTCCTCTCCCTCCCCCCCCCCCTCCTCTCCTCCCTCTCCCCCCTCTCCCCCCTCTTCCCCCTCTCCCCCCTCTCCCCCTCTTCCCCCTCTCCCCCCTCTTCCCCCTCTCCTCCCTCTTCCCCCTCTCCCCTCCGCCCCCCGTCAGATTCGTCTGGACCGCCATGGGCGGTTGGCAGACTCGCGGTGGCTCAAGGACCCCACGGGGGCATGGCGGCACAGCAAGAGCACCAAGCGCAAAGGTGAGGATCGCCACTTCAGGCTCGGAGGCTTGGGTTCCGAGGCTTGGAATCAGAGGCCTGGGACCCAAGGCTTAGGGAAAGAACAAGGGGCAGGGCTGGCCGGCTGAAGGATCCCATGGGGGCATGGCGGCAGGCAGAGCATGGCGGCATGGGGGCATGGCGGCAGGCAGAGCATGGCGGCATGGGGGCATGGCGGCAGGCAGAGCATGGCGGCATGGGGGCATGGCGGCAGTCTGCAGAGCATGGCACTCAGTTTTGAAAATTCTCAACAGTGATTTCCGCAGAACAAAGGCAAGAAGCTTGTGACCGGAGGCTTGGGACCACTGGCTTGGGACCAGTGGCTTGGGACCAGTGGCTTGGGACCAGTGGCTTGGGACCAGTGGCTTGGGACCAGTGGCTTGGGACCAGTGGCTTGGGACCAGTGGCTTGGGACCAGTGGCTTGGGACCAGTGGCTTGGGACCAGTGGCTTGGGACCAGTGGCTTGGGACCAGTGGCTTGGGACCAGTGGCTTGGGACCAGTGACTTGGGACCAGTGGCTTGGGACCAGTGGCTTGGGACCAGTGGCTTGGGACCAGTGGCTTGGGACCAGTGGCTTGGGACCAGTGGCTTGGGACCAGTGGCTTGGGACCAGAGGCTTGGGACCAGTGGCTTGGGACCAGTGGCTTGGGACCAGTGGCTTGGGACCAGTGGCTTGGGACCAGTGGCTTGGGACCAGTGGCTTGGGACCAGTGGCTTGGGACCAGTGGCTTGGGACCTGTGGCTTGGGACCAGTGGCTTGGGACCAGTGGCTTGGGACCAGTGGCTTGGGACCAGTGGCTTGGGACCAGTGGCTTGGGACCAGTGGCTTGGGACCAGTGGCTTGGGACCAGTGGCTTGGGACCAGTGGCTTGGGACCAGAGGCTTGGGACCAGAGGCTTGGGACCAGTGGCTTGGGACCAGTGGCTTGGGACCAGTGGCTTGGGACCAGTGGCTTGGGACCAGAGGCTTGGGACCAGTGGCTTGGGACCAGTGGCTTGGGACCAGTGGCTTGGGACCAGTGGCTTGGGACCAGTGGCTTGGGACCAGTGGCTTGGGACCAGTGGCTTGGGACCAGTGGCTTGGGACCAGTGGCTTGGGACCAGTGGCTTGGGACCAGTGGCTTGGGACCAGTGGCTTGGGACCAGTGGCTTGGGACCAGTGGCTTGGGACCAGTGGCTTGGGACCAGTGGCTTGGGACCAGTGGCTTGGGACCAGTGGCTTGGGACCAGTGGCTTGGGACCAGTGGCTTGGGACCAGTGGCTTGGGACCAGTGGCTTGGGACCAGTGGCTTGGGACCAGTGGCTTGGGACCAGTGGCTTGGGACCAGTGGCTTGGGACCAGTGGCTTGGGACCAGTGGCTTGGGACCAGTGGCTTGGGACCAGAGGCTTGGGACCAGTGGCTTGGGACCAGTGGCTTGGGACCAGTGGCTTGGGACCAGTGGCTTGGGACCAGTGGCTTGGGACCAGTGGCTTGGGACCAGTGGCTTGGGACCAGTGGCTTGGGACCAGTGGCTTGGGACCAGAGGCTTGGGACCAGAGGCTTGGGACCAGTGGCTTGGGACCAGTGGCTTGGGACCAGTGGCTTGGGACCAGTGGCTTGGGACCAGTGGCTTGGGACCAGAGGCTTGGGACCAGTGGCTTGGGACCAGTGGCTTGGGACCAGTGGCTTGGGACCAGTGGCTTGGGACCAGTGGCTTGGGACCAGCGGCTTGGGACCAGTGGCTTGGGACCAGTGGCTTGGGACCAGTGGCTTGGGACCAGTGGCTTGGGACCAGTGGCTTGGGACCAGTGGCTTGGGACCAGTGGCTTGGGACCAGTGGCTTGGGACCAGTGGCTTGGGACCAGTGGCTTGGGACCAGTGGCTTGGAGGAGCAACTAGGGGCAGGTTTGATCGCTCAAGGACCCAACGGGGGCATGGCGGAATAGCAAGTCCAACAGGGGCATGGCGGAGTAGCAAGTCCAAGAAGCACAACGGTGGGAGTTGGGGCTGCTGCGGACGTGTGGTGGTGTGGGTGGTGATTCTGTTGTGGAATTTCTTTCGTGCCAATGGGCAGCCACACGCATGCCAACGGGCAGCCACACGCGTGCCAACGGGCAGCCACACGCGTGCCAACGGGCAGCCACACGCGTGCCAACGGGCAGGCACACGCGTGCCAACGGGCAGCCACACGCGTGCTATAAGTGAAGCAAGTCATGCACTGCACTGACTCTCGTGGCCTGGCCCTCCCCAATCCCCCCTCACCACAGGACAGGACACACGCATGTCCAATCCCCCACGCCCCACCATGGGCATGGGCACGCACATGGGACGGGAGTGGGCAGGCACACATATGTCGTGCATGCATGCATTGTGCATTGTGCATTGTGCATTGTGTCATGCATGTATGCATTGTCCATTGAATCGCCTTCTTCTCCCTTTTCCCTTCCCCTCACCACAGGCCAGACGCATGATAAATCCCCCACACCACACCGGCACAGGCACGCGCACGGTGACGGGCAGGCAAGGCGAATGTGTGCAACATCTGAGGCAGCTTATGTATTGGCTCTCTTTCCCCTTCCCCTATTACCATACACAGGCCACTCGCACGGGAAATCCCCCACGCCCCACCATGGGCACGGGCACACACATGAGTACGGGCAGGCACATGTGGCATGGGTGGCTGTGCATGCACCTGTGCACTGCATGGGAAAGAGTAAAGTAACACACGCCTCCCTTTTACGCTCTTCCTCCCCACCACAGGGCACACACACGGGAAATCCCCCACGCCCCACCATGGGCACGGGCACGCGCACGGGTACGGGCAGGCACACGTGGCAGGGAACCAGAAGGGGAAGGCGGGCGAGGAGGAGGACGAGGAGGAGGAGGAGGAGGAGGAGGAGGAGGAGGAGGAGGAGGAGGGGGAGGGGGACAAGGTGATGGGGCTGGAGCAGACGGTGCTGGACGTTCAGAAGGCCATGGCTGCAGGGGAGGGGTGCCAGGTAGGTAGTGTGTGTGTTGTGGTTGTGCGTGTGTGTGTAGGGGAGGGGTTGGGGATGGTGGCAGGGGTACGTGTTTGTGGGAGAGGGAGAGGGAGAGGGAGAGGGAGAGGGAGAGGGAGAGGGAGGGCATGGAGGGGGAGCAAGCGGTGGCACTGGAGCAGGCGGTGGCACTGGAGCAGGCGGTGGCACTGGAGCAGGCGGTGGCACTGGAGCAGGCGGTGGCACTGGAGCAGGCGGTGGCACTGGAGCAGGCGGTATTGGACGTTCACAAGGCCATGGCCGCTGGGGAGGGGTGACACATGCGTGCGGGGAGGGGGGAGGGGCACGTGCGTGTGTGTGTTGGGGAGGCGTTGGGGGGGGTGGCAGGTGTGTGTGTATGTGGGGGGATGAGGGAGAAGGAGGGCATGGAGGGGGAGGAAGTGGTGGGGCTGCAGACGGCCATGGCTGCTGGGGAAGTGTGCCAGGTGTGTATTGGGAGGGGGGGGGGGGGGGGGGGGGTACTAGGTGTGTATATGGTGGGGGGTATACCACCAGATGTCTTAAATGGAACTGACGGAGCCAGCGTTTTTTATGCTAGGGTCAAAACGATACGTTTTACACTTGCCGCGACCCTCCAAGATTTTGGCGCTGGTTTTGACGCTCTTGCGGGCAGGAAAAAAAACCCTTCGGGCAGCCAACAAAAAACAGCGAGGAGGGGGGGGGGGGGGGGAAGAAGGTAACGGGGTAGAGTAGGCATAGCTTGTAGGTAGGATGCGCTGGTAATTCTTCATAGGTAATGCCGGAACCAGATCCGGTAGCCGAGGTACTAGGGTCGCCCACCTTCGATGCTGTAGGGGGGGTTGAAGCCATGGTGCTGGCCTAAATGAACCTTTAAACGCCTAAACTTAAGAGAGCACTCCTAGCATAGCAACTGAAGGAAATTCCTGGTCGCCCAACTTAAAACCCTAGAATGAAGTCGAGAAACCAGAGGAGTGGGCTAAATGTGTGTTTCGGTTGGGCAATGCAGTTGCAGTGCGGTGGAAAGGGGTGGGAGGGTTGGATTTTGTTGGAGGCTGTTTGGGTTGTGCGGTGTCGAGTTGAAGTCTAGAGTCGCGTTTTCGGCGCCCGAACTGGGTTGTTTCGGTGGAATTTTTGTCCCTGCTTCCATGTCTCGCTGCACTTGCCTTCTAAGTTGGAATATGCGCGTATAGCATATATACGCCTTAGTTGGCAATTTACGTTTGCGTATGTGCACGTTTACGTACGCTCTTTGAAAATCGAGTTCATGTTTACGGTCAGCAAAACGTTTTCAGGCTGCTCAAAAGAAAAAAAAAAAACTTCCACGTGTCCCTCCAACCCATTTATTCGACTTTCGACACCTTCGAGGAATCTCAAGTTTCGAATGTCCGGCCATGAAGCTTCTATTGGATGGCCATTTTGTAATGTAGCTAGTAGCAGCCTTCCCTCCGTTTCCACCACCCACAGTACGAAACACTTCTTCCCAACCCTTCCCTGCGTTAGGTCGACATGGGGTCGTCGTCCGATTTTTTTTCAATTTCGATTTGTTTTTTCTGGCCTGCCTGGCCAAGTTTACATAAATTTACGCGTACAAAAACGTAAACGTACGATTACACGAAGGTTTACGTTTACGCGGTCTGAAATAGAGTAAAGTGCCAACTTCGATATACGCGTATTGTATATACGCTATCGTATATACGCTATCTGCTTAGGGGCCGGTTTGGACATTCGCTATTTCTGGCAGGGGAAAAACTTTCCCTGGCAAGGTAAAATAAAATGTCGTGCTCAACATTGGGAAGGTATTCCATATTCTCACTAAGATTTTCGTAGCATTCTCCTAAGTCTGAAGTGGGATTAGGGTGGAATGTGTAGTAGACTAGACACTATCGCTAGAAGGAGTAGGAATCGGGATGAGCTCTGTTGGAAACGGGAAAGTAAACTAGTGGAAATGTCGAGTGCAGTTGGGCTGGCTGGCTGGTAAGTAGCGCGAGTGGGATTTGTTGGGGGGATATTTTTGACAGGTTGGAGTTCGTAGATGGGATGGGTTTCAATGCGGTACTAATCAAAATTGTAGATCTAAACTGCCAGATGCGATTGTAAGGCAGATTCCCGTTTCCCTAGACCCCCGAATTGCATATCGACTTTGGCGAAATGCTCACCAGAAGATTCCCACACACGATACACACGATACACACGATACACACACACGGTACACACGATACACACGATTACACACGAAAAAAACAAAAAATATACACACGATTTTTTTCCCGGGCAGCCCCTAAAAAATTCTGAAAGCGTATAGCGTATTAGCTAGCGTATAGTGTTTGCGTATGAACGCAAGCGTGTATACGCTACACGCTTTAGGGTCTGAGCGTAGGCCTTTCCCTTCACTCCCTGCCCCCTCTTCCCTGCTCCCTGCGCCATCCTGCATGCTCTGTCTTGTCAGCTGTGCTGTGCTGTGCTGTGCTGTGCTGTGCTGTGCTGTGCGGCCATCTGTCAGTGGACAGGGTGGCGGGCAACTTCCCTTCCACATTGTGGTGCACGGCCTGTCCTGCCCCCTCCCCTTGCCTTCCCCTTCACTCCCTGCTCCCTGCTCCCTCTTCCATTCCATGATCCCCGCGCTCTGCTGCCTGCTCCATACCATGTGCTCCACTTCCCCAGCTGTACGACCGTCTATCGGTGGAGCGGGTGGCGTGGCGGGCAACGTCCATCCCAGCCCAGCCCCCTCACCTTTCCCTTCGCTCCCCGCTACCTCTTCCCTCTGCTCCCTACCCCCTCCCCTACCTCTCTCCCCAGCTGTACGGCCATCTGTCAGTGGAGAGGGTGGCAGGCAACTTCCACGTCTCCGTGCACGGCCAATCCTACCTCGTGCTGCAGCAGGTACGATGCGGTTGTGTGCGGTGCAGTGGGATTGATGCAGCAGATGCAGCATGCATCAATCAACTTGCACATCTCAGTTCAGCGCACGGCGAGTCCTGCCTAATGCTGCAGCAGGTGGGCTGTGTTGGAGTGGGCTGTGTTGGAGTGGGCTGTGTTGGAGTGGGCTGTGTTGGAGTGAGCTACTTCTCGCTCTGTATGTGATTCTCGCCGTTTATTGTTTTTTGGCCATTTTTAGCCTTAATATCATTTCCGTTCCTACACTGAACACGTCCTATCCAAGGTTCAGTTGGGGTTTCATCCCAACCAACACTAGGACTTCTGTACTCAGACCTATTCAATGCAGCTTTTCAATCTTCTCAGGGTACATTCCTAGCTCGTGTCTGACATCAGGTCATAGGCCCTTAGTCTCTGATTTGTCTCTTCCGAATGTTGATCTGCCCCTATTCCGAGCCTCTTTGGGTCTTCCGAGCATCCACTTGGTGTCTGACCTCATGTCAGACACGAGCTACGAATGTACCCTCATTAGCCATGGCTCCCATAATTCCAATCTTAACTCGTTGGGCTGCTCGGTTGGTTCATCAGCAGGCTCATTGCTGTTCTGCCTGCTGCATGCTGCATGCTGTATGCTGTATGCTGCCTGCTGCCATCAACTTGCATGTCTCCATGCAATGCGAACTCGACGCACCTTTTCCACTTCCTCCGCCTCCAGTCCAACGGCCTGTTTCCTTATCCCATATCCGCATCCCACGCCCTCCGTTGCCCCGCCCTCCTTTGTCAAACTTAGCATTACCTGCTTACCCTCCTTCCACCTCCCCCCTCTCTCAGGTCTTATTATTAGTAGGTGATGTGAACGTGACGTGGCGGGTCACATCATGCACTCCCTCGCTTTCCACGCCACCGTGTCTTCTTCTTCCTTTTGCTTACCGCCTGCCTCGAAGCCACATTTCTTCCCTTTTGCCCTTCCTTCTCCACCCCGTCCCTCTCAGGTGTTGTCATCAGTGGGCAATGTGAGCGTGTCTCACATCATCCACTCGCTCGGTTTCGAGCTGCCTTCCCCTTCCTTAACCTTTCCCAACTGCCTCGCAAGCACCAACCTTCCCTCCTTCCCCCTCCCTCTCAGGTGTTCTCCTCAGTGGGCGATGTGAACGTGTCTCACATCATCCACTCCCTCGGTTTCGGAGTGCCCTATCCCGGGCGGCTCAACCCTCTGGACGGATTTGTCCGCATCCTGCCGCCCCTCAAGGAGGGGGAAGACCCTGCCAGATCCAGTGGCACCTTCAAGTACTTCCTCAAGGTGAGCCATCCCCACCGCACTCCACCGCACGGCACTCCATTCTGCTGTGCCACCAGTGGTCGCATCATCAATCATCTCTAGGAAGTGGGGCTTCCTCAAGGTGAGTGCGCCAATCCAAGCCCATCACTCGGGAACTGCAACTGCAACTGCAACTGCAACTGCAACTGCAACTGCAACCGCAACTGCAACTGCAACTGCAACTGCAACTGCAACTGCAACCGCAACTGCAACTGCAACTGCAACTGCAACTGCAACTGCAACCGCAACTGCAACGCAAGTTCAAGTGCATCAACTTCGCCAGCAGAGGACGCACACCCAACCCGAGAGCTTGTCCGCTCGTCAGCTGCAGCACTGTGCTCACGACCTCACGACCAACTCGGCTAGCAGCCTGGCACTGGCTGGCACATCCCATCCCATCCCATCCCATCCCATCCCATCCCATCCCATCCCATCCCATCCCATCCCATCCCATCCCATCCCATCCCATCCCATCCCATCCCATCCCATCCCATCCCATCCCATCCCATCCCATCCCATCCCATCCCATCCCATCCCAACCCAACCAGTGCTCTGTCCGCAAACTCTAGTGGGGTGGTGACCAACTCAAGTGGGGTGGTGACCAACTCAAGTGGGGTGGTGACCAACTCAAGTGGGGTGGTGACCAACTCAACCGACCGTGAAAGCGCTTGACCTGCATTGGTGTGCACACCTTTGCTTACTGTACCTCGCATCACCCATGGGAATCCTCAAACGCGTTCCTCTCCCAGTCCAGTCCATGTGCTTCTGAACCACTTTTCTCCCCTCACGTGCTGCCCCCTCACGTGCTGCCCCCTCACATGGTGTCCCCTCACATGGTGTCCCCTCACATGGTGTCCCCTCACATGGTGTCCCCTCACATGGTGTCCCCTCACATGGTGTCCCCTCACATGGTGTCCCCTCACATGGTGTCCCCTCGCATCTCCTTGTGCCGCCAAGGCTCTGTTAAGGCAACCAGTGCTCAGATCAGTCAGGAACACCCGTACTTTCGACCCGAGCACCAGATAGTTCTCAGGCAGGGAGCGGTGCAGCCCCCCCCCTTTCGCCTCCCCCTAGGTGGTGCCCACGCGCGTCCGCTTCTGCCGCAGGGGGTCCATGAAGACCAGCCAGTGCCGCAGGGGGTCCATGAAGACCAGCCAGTGCTCAGCTCAGCTCGGTCAAGAGTCAACAACACCCTGTGATTCCAACCCGAGCACCAGCAAATCAATTTTTTGGGGGGTTGGAAGTGGTGCAGTGCAGTGCATAAAAGTGCACCGCATCTACACGATGCCCCCCATCCTGTCTCCCCTTGGCTGGTGCCCATGCGCTTTTGCTTCTGGCACGGGGGCTCTGTGAAGACCAACCAGTACTCAGCTCAGTCCACAACCAACCTCAGAACGAACCAGCTCTTGGGGGTTTGGAGCGGTGCAGTGCAATGAGGAGGTTCACATGTGTTCTCTACCCGCCCCCCCTCTCGACTTGCTTCAGGTGGTGCCGACTCGCTTCCGCTTCTGGCACGGGGGCATTGTGAAGACCAACCAGTACTCCATCAGTGAATACTTCACTCCCTCCTCGCCACAGTCCAACGCACTGCCAGGTACGCATCCTCCATTTCTCACTACACTTCTCTCGCCCCTTCCACCCTCTTGCCTCTGTCACCTCTCTTTACAGCCATCTACAACCATTTCTTCACACTCTCTCTCACTCCCCACTGTTTCTTACCACTCCAGGTGGTTTTCTTTCCTTCGTCTCTAACTCTTCCCATCTCACCCCTCCACCCGTCCCACCCCTCCACCCGTCCCACCCCTCCACCCGTCCCACCCCTCCACCCGTCCCGCCCCTCCACCCGTCCCGCCCCTCCACCCGTCCCGCCCCTCCACTTGTATGCTTCTCGCCAGTATGCCCTGTCGCCAGTATGCCCTGTCGCCAGTATGCCCTGTCGCCAGTATGCCCTGTCGCCAGTATGCCCTGTCGCCCGTCCAAGCACCTCAGCTTCCGTGCCTTCTCCCCGATTTTCCCACTTCCCACCTTCGTTGTCTCTGTGTCCCCAACATTTTCTAGCGCTCTTTAACACTTCCTACCACTTCCAATCACTCCCTACCACGCCACTACCTCTCCCTAGTACTCCCTTCCCTGTGCGCCTCACCTTAATACTCCCTGCCAACCCCCCCCTTCTTTTCCATGTCCCGCTCCCCACCTCCCCCTCTTCCCCACATCCTGCAGCAGTCTTCTTCCTCTACGACCTCTCACCCATAGCAGTGAGCATCACGGAGCCGCACCGCAGTTCCCCCAATCTCCACCCTTGTACTCTCGTCCCCCCCCCCTTCCCCCTCCCCACCCCCCCTGCTCCTCCCCCCTCCAGCGGTCTACTTCCTCTACGACCTGTCGCCCATAGCAGTGAGCATCACGGAGTCGCACCGCAGCTTCTTCCACTTCCTCACGCGCCTCTGCGCCGTGCTGGGCGGCACCTTCGCCCTCACAGGTGGGTGCTTAACACCAATAGAGCACCACCAAGGCGTTCAATCGAGCACCAAGTAGGTGTGGCAGGATGGTCGTGAAGCCAGGAGCAGGAAGGTCCAGAAGCCAGGAGCCAGAAGCCAGGGACAGAGGGACATGATACTTGGCAGGATGGCATAAGAGCTTTCTACGAGCACTCAGACATCCACCACGAAGGTGCTTTCTAAGAGCTTTCCACCTTGGTGGTGCTCTATTTGGTCCCTGCACCCACCCACCCGTGAGGCTGAACACTAGAGGATTTTTCATACAAGCACTCGAGCAACTTCAAGGTGTCTTCCCTAAGAGTTGCAGCCGCACATACTGAACCCATGCTCACCAATCGCCCTCGCCCGCGTCCCTGCCTTCTCATTCCATTGCCCCAACTCTCATGTCCTGACACACCCCTCACTGTCTTCCTTATCTTTCCATCCCCCCTCCAAGGCGTGCTGGATCGCTGGGTGTACAGCCTGCTGCAGCTCATCAACCGCCCTCGCCATGCTTCCTGCCCTCCTCTCTCATGCCATGCTGCCCTCCTCTCTCATGCCATGTTGCCCTCCTCTCTCATGCCATGCTGCCCTCCTCTCTCATGCCATGCTGCCCTCCTCTCTCATGCCATGCTGCCCTCCTCTCTCATGCCATGCTGCCCTCCTCTCTCATGCCATGCTGCCCTCCTCTCTCATGCCATGCTGCCCTCCTCTCTCATGCCATGCTGCCCTCCTCTCTCATGCCATGCTGCCCTCCTCTCTCATGCCATGCTGCCCTCCTCTCTCATGCCATGCTGCCCTCCTCTCTCATGCCATGCTGCCCTCCTCTCTCATGCCATGCTGCCCTCCTCTCTCATGCCATGCTGCCCTCCTCTCTCATGCCATGCTGCCCTCCTCTCTCATGCCATGCTGCCCTCCTCTCTCATGCCATGCTGCCCTCCTCTCTCATGCCATGCTGCCCTCCTCTCTCATGCCATGCTGCCCTCCTCTCTCATGCCATGCTGCCCTCCTCTCTCATGCCATGCTGCCCTCCTCTCTCATGCCATGCTGCCCTCCTCTCTCATGCCATGCTGCCCTCCTCTCTCATGCCATGCTGCCCTCCTCTCTCATGCCATGCTGCCCTCCTCTCTCATGCCATGCTGCCCTCCTCTCTCATGCCATGCTGCCCTCCTCTCTCATGCCATGCTGCCCTCCTCTCTCATGCCATGCTGCCCTCCTCTCTCATGCCATGCTGCCCTCCTCTCTCATGCCATGCTGCCCTCCTCTCTCATGCCATGCTGCCCTCCTCTCTCATGCCATGCTGCCCTCCTCTCTCATGCCATGCTGCCCTCCTCTCTCATGCCATGCTGCCCTCCTCTCTCATGCCATGCTGCCCTCCTCTCTCATGCCATGCTGCCCTCCTCTCTCATGCCATGCTGCCCTCCTCTCTCATGCCATGCTGCCCTCCTCTCTCATGCCATGCTGCCCTCCCTCTCATGCCATGCTGCCCTCCTCTCTCATGCCATGCTGCCCTCCTCTCTCATGCCATGCTGCCCTCCCTCTCATGCCATGCTGCCCTCCTCTCTCATGCCATGCTGCCCTCCCTCTCGTGCCATGCTGCCCTCCTCTCTCATGCCATGCTGCCCTCCTCTCTCATGCCATGCTGCCCTCCTCTCTCATGCCATGCTGCCCTCCTCTCTCATGCCATGCTGCCCTCCTCTCTCATGCCATGCTGCCCTCCTCTCTCATGCCATGCTGCCCTCCTCTCTCATGCCATGCTGCCCTCCTCTCTCATGCCATGCTGCCCTCCCTCTCATGCCATGCTGCCCTCCCTCTCACCCTGCACCTCCCTGCCATGCCCATCCAATCCCCCCCAGGCATGCTGGATCGTTGGGTGTACAGCCTGCTGCAGCTCATCAACCGCCCTCACCATGCCTATGCGAAAGCCGCTCGCCTGCACTAGCTGCAGTCATCAGTAAAGGGCATGTGTAACAGGATGTGCAACCAGAAGAACCCTAAACGCTTGCAATTCGCTACAATATAGCATTGGGGACCAGGCCCTGTGGTTGCGGAGTAAAACGGCCTGAAACCAAAATCCCATGGACAGAGGACCCTACCACCCTGGGGACCTGAAAAAGATGCCACGCCACACCCCTGCTGTTCATCCTAAGCTTTTTCTCGCCAGTCCATATAAGATCCCTGGTCTCCTATCAATGAGCTTACAGTGCAATGACAATGGTGATGATGTGAGGATCACATAACATCACATGTGAGAGGTACAGTAGTAAAAGACCAGGCAAAGAGAGAGACTGTCACATGCCACTAGGGGGTGCTTAGTAGGGGGGCATGTGTTGCTGCTGCATGCATCAAGCATGGTAGCAGGGTTGCTGTAAATGAACCTTCAGATTCCATAGGTGCTACGTTCTCCAATAACCTAAACACATTTTATTTGTCAAATGTTGTAGCCTGTAATGAGGCTTGTCTCAAGGGGTACCGTATTCCCCCGGATATACCACCCTAGGGTGCTATGATAACTACACAAAAAAAAGGGGGGGGGGTCTAGCCATCGGAAAAAGCTACATTGCACCGGGTCTTTACATAATGTATATTTTTTTATAGCGTAAAACGTTTAGTACACAATGTACATCTGTGCCGTGGTGGTAGATTGCTGGTTGGGTGCGCAAAACCGAGGACTGGGCGATAACGTTTTGCGCGAGGGTTAGCTGCCACATTGCAAGCTCCAACAAGGCCCACTGTCAGGCCCAGATTGAACGAAATCACACCCCCTCGTCGCACGACGAGGATTCATGCAGGTGACAATGGCGGAGTCCCCGCAACAGCCTCGGTTGCCTCGCTGGGCGGGCATGTCATTGAACTGTGAAGGAGTTGATCCACCCGAGCAATGCTCGGCAGAGTGTCCTACCACCACCTGCCTCCTCGCTCCATGTCCAGGCATAAATTCTTCCTTCCTATGGCCTGTGACACCAACGTTCACTAGGCTTAGATGGCTACCTCTCCCGAATCCAGTAGCACAGTGGTTAGGCGGCAGCGGCCTTCCGTCACCCAGTCACCCGCTGCTGCGGGAACACGGCGTTCGCCCCGGCCCATCCTGCCGCAGCCGCCACCGCCCGTGAGTCGCGCCACCAACGATGAACCGAGCAGCAGCGCGACCCGTTGAATGTAGGAAAGACTGTGTGATGGGAATGTTAGCGCTGTATTGCGTCATATGTAGCTTGTTTCTGCTAATGTTAACTTGTAGATGGATTATCATTGGAAACCCTGTGCTACTTAGGCAAAAACTGCAATTATACCCGTACATAACACCCCCCCCGGGTGCTATATAGGATGCCCCCAAAAGGGGGGGTATAGTAGAAACGAGGCCCGCTATAGCACCCCCCCCGCACAAGCCACCCGGGGGGTGCTCTATTTCGGGGGGTGGTGTGTCCGGGGGAATACGGTACAAATATTAGGGTTTGCTACTAAGATGGATCTGTTGAACTATATTATGTTTAGGTGTTGTAGGCTACAAAGGGGTAGCCACTAAGGGGTACAACCCCTTGAGGTTTTGGTACTTGTATCTCACCTTTCTTCAGTCATTTCACTCAATCCTTAACATGGTTTCAGAGCGGGTCCTTCCTAAGGACCATTCTTTGGGCCCACCGTTCTACCTGCGGTTACTACGTTACCCCACTGCCCTACCCCGAGTCGCGCTGCTCATGCTAGCCGCGCGCCACTGCTGCAGCGCGCGATTTTTTTTTTAGTGCGCTGCGCTGCCTGCCCCACCCCGTGCGCGCTGCTGGCCACGTCGCGCTGCTGTCGCGTCGCCCCGCCACCCGCGCGCCTGCCCTGCCCATGCGCTGCCTGCCGCCGCGCACTGCCCTGCCTGTGCGCAGCCCGCCGCCGCGCCCCCTGCCCTACCCGTGCGCAGCCCGCCGCCGCGCCACCCTACCTGTATGCAGCTCGCCGCCGCACCCACTGCCCTGCCCGTGCGCAGCCCGCCGCCGCGCCTTACCCTGCCCGTGCGCAGCCCGCCGCTGTGCCCCCTGCCCTGCCCGTGCGCAGCCCGCCGCCCCCCCCCCCCCCCCCCCCCCCCCCCCCCCCCCCCCCTGCCCTGCCCGTGCGCAGCTCACCGCCGTGCCCCCTGCCCTGCCCGTGCGCAGCCCGCTGCCACGCCCCCTGCCCTGCCTGTGCGCTGCCCGCCGCTGCGCCCTGCCCTGCCCGTGCGCCGCCCGCCGCCGCGCCCCCTGCCCTACCCGTGCGCCGCTCGCCGCGCCCCCTGCCCTGCGCGTGCGTGCAATACACCTCCTCCCCTGCCAGCCACCCTTAACCCAGTGCGCGCCGCCACTTGCTGCCTTGCGCTACCCACGATGGTGACTTACAATGTTCTTACATTTGACGCAGAGGGCCGCCCGATCGAATTTGAAACCTGGCTAGATGACCTTAAGCTCTAACTTCAGTGCGAGTCGAACGATCGTGTGTCCCTCTTCCCTCATACGTCCGGTAGCGCTGCCGCTCCTGCAGATTCACCGGTTCTTTGACTCCCGTGACATCCGTTTCGACAAATCCGTCCCCTACTACGTCAGGTACCCCTGTCGAGGTCTCCCGGTTCCTCCTCCCCCTCTCTTACTTGCTTCCGCTCCCCCTCCTGCTCCCCCGGTTCAGCCTCCCCCCCCTGGTCCAGCCCCGTCAGGTGTGTCCCACTCTACCCCTCCCCCCTTGGTAGCCCCGCAGGTGCAGCCTCCGTCCCCGCAGTTTTCCTCGCAGCCTACTGCAGACCCTGCGGGAGCCGGTGTTCGTAGAGCGGCCTCGGACACTACTCCTCCCCCCCAACCCTACCCGACCCGGCACTAGGCTTGTGTTCGCCGTGCCCGTGAGGAGCAGCTGGAGTTGGAGAGAGAGGAGAGAGAGTTGCGGCGGCTAGAGGAGCAGCAGCAGCAGCAGCAGCAGCAGGAGCAGCAGCAGCAGCCGCAGCTGGAGGAGCAGGGGTCGCAGCCGAAGTAGGAGCAGCAGCAGCCGCCACCTCCTCCTCCTGTCTCTAGTTTTCGGACCCTCGGTCTCTCCTCCTGCTCTCCTTCCTCCTCCCCCTCTCCCCCTATCTACGGTCCCACGTTCCCTCCTCCTGACTCTTCCCCGGCTGTTCTCACTCGTTCTCCACCTCCGTTGTCTCCTCCTCCTTCGTACGCTTGGCCCTCTCGTCGCTCTCCTCGTGCTCGTCCCTCGTCCCCTGTCCCTCTCACTGACCATCATGCTGCCCTTTTCCGTCCTAGTCCGCCTCGTTCGTCTCCGTCTGTGCTTCCTTCTCCTCCTGAGTCGGCCCTCACTGCTTCCCTCTCTTCTCCTGACGCTGACTACTACCGCACGTACCGTCTTGTTCTCTCTCGTGTTCTCGCCTCTCTTGTTACCGACCCTCGTGCCTCTGTGTCCTCTGTGTCTGCTCTTACTGCCGCAGTCACTGAGTTTGCCTCTACTCGCCGCCTTGACTACGCCACCACTCTTGTGGCTGCTCCTCCTACCAGTCCTCTGGCCGTCGGGGGTGAGTCTGCCCTTGGCTATGACGCCCTAGAGGACAGGCAGTTTGAGCTAGAGTTCCTGACAGCCGCTTCCCCTCATCTCTGTGCCATGCTGCTGGCTCCTGAAGGAGACTCCGACGCCCTTGACATACCGACTCCTCGCACTTACGCTGAGGCAGTGTCAGGGCCTTGGGCCTCTCAGTGGAGAGCTGCCATGGACTCAGAGATGGCCTCCTACAGATCCACAGGCACCTACGCTGACTAAGTTCCCCCCCCTTGAGGCAAACGTAGTCGATGGCATGTGGATCTTCAGGGTGAAGCGGCCACCGGGATCTCCTCCAGTCTTCAAGACGTGCTATGTGGCTAGAGGTTCCAGTCAGCACGAGGGAGTTGAAGATGACCACTCTTCGGGTGTTACTGCACGTAGCAGCACAGAGAGACTACGAGCTACACTCTCTCGACTTCTCCACTGCCTTCCTTCAGGGTAGCCTACACGAGGAGGTCTGGTTGCGTCGTCCCTCTGCCTTCACTGGCACTTTCCCTCCTGGGACCCAGTGGAGGCTGAGGCGACCGGTCTACGGTCTCCGTCAGGCTCCTCGTGAGTGGCACGACACCCTTCGTTCTACTCTGTCTGACCTCGGTTTCCAGCCGTCTTCTGCCGACCCGTCGCTGTTCGTTCGTCGTGGCTCCACACCGTTCTTTGTACTGGTCTACGTCGACGACCTGGTTTTCGCCACTGCTGACAGGGTTGCTTTGGCTGACGTGAAGCGCGAACTGTAGAAGAGACACACGTGCACTGACCTTGGTGAGCTGCGCCACTACCTTGGCCTGCAGATCACCAGGGACAGAGCCGCTCGCACCATTACACTCTCACATTCACACATGGTGCAGCAGGTCCTTCATCGGTCCAAGCTTCAGCACTCCACAGTACAGCGCACACCTCTTGCTGTTGACCACAGACTCACTGGTCCCTTTCCAGACGAGCCGTTTGAGCCGAGTGGTCCCTACGCAGAGCTTGTGGGTTGCCTCATGTACCTGATGACTTGTATTTGTCAGGACCTCGCCTACCGTTTCAGCATCCTTGCTCGCTTTGTTGCGCCAGGGAGACACCGTCCTATTCACTGGACCGCAGCTATGAGGGTGGCGAAGTACCTAGCGACGACATCAGGCATGGGGTTGGTACTTGGAGGGCAGCACAGGTCTACTCAGGGTTACTGTTTCAGCCTGGGCTCTGGAGCTGTTTCGTGGAGGTCCACGCGCTCCTCCTTGGTTGCGACCTCTACCGCTGAGGCTGAGATCTACGCTGGAGCCATGGCTGCACAGGAGCTGCGTTGGTTGACCTTCTTGCTCACAGACCTTGGTGAGCGGCCGAGCCCTGCACCAACCTTTATTCACTGACAGCAAGGCGGCGATTCTTCTCTGTCGGGAGCCTCGACTGGAGAGCAGAGTGAAG